GAAGCCTCAGGAGTCCCCTTGGCACCTGCCAGGGGTTGGGAAGACCCCCAGGTGAGGAGTATGTAGATGACTGGGATCTGGGGTCCTGAGGCTCTTTCTGCTGCCGGGGACACAAACCCAGTAGCTACGACAGAGGAGAGAAGGACAGTTATTTATTTTTTTAAAGTTTATTTTGAGAGAGAGAGAGAGAGAGAGAGAGAAAGACACACACACACACTGAGCGGGGTAGGGGCAGAGAGAGAGAGAGGGAGACACAGAATCCGAAGCAGCTCCAGGCTCTGAGCTGTCAGCATAGAGCCCAATGTGGGGCTTGAACTCATGAACTGCAAGATCACAACCTGATCTGAAGTCAGACATCTGACTGAGGCACCCCGGTGCCTGGAGAATGGGACACTTATTAAAGAGAAGGTGCCTCAGAACCCCCTGAGGAGTGGAGCTGGGGACCAGCCGGCAGCTTACCCGGGTCACACTTGCTTTGTCTCAGCCATGTGACAAAAGTCCTCCCCCCCCACCCCCCCGTGCCTTTGGCGTCTGTTCTCTCTGTCCATCTGTCCTCCCATGTGTGTCTCCTCTGCTCCCCTCCCTCCCCTCAGGCTTCTGACCCCTCTCTTCCCTTGCCCGGCTGACCCCACTGTCGCAGGCCTGGCACGTGAGCTGTGAGCGGGCAGACGGTGCCCTCGCTCCCATGAAACTCCGGTGGGGGGCAGCAGGGGTCAGCCGAGGACACCCCTGCTCTGAAGGAAGTGAAGTAGGGAGAGCAGTGGGGGGTGGGTTCCTTTGGACAGGGCACCCAGGGGAGGGTGTGTGAGCGAGACTGGAATGAGCCAGAGCCAGTGCTCCCTGCACAGGGCACAGGCCGCCTCGGAGGTGGGGAGGGGCTGGTGTGGCTGTGGCGAGGGCGCGGCCCAGATAACGGAGATCTTTCAACACGCCCTTGCCCCTTGCGAGAAAAAGGGTCAGATAGCAGAAGCACCTGCGGGTGCGATTCTGTTTATGTCAAGTCCAAGTACCTGTAAAAGGTATGTTAATAGTGGAGGCAGATATGTAGCAAAAAGGGAAGACGGTGAAACGATGGTCCTACCGCAGGGCGTCAGGCCCCCGTAAGGTGCGCGTGAGAAGGGCCTGTTCTGCGCGGCCCCAGGATTGCAAACTGGCCAGTGGACGGCTTTTACCTGTAATTACAAGCGTTCTTTTCTTTTACTCAAGGGATTTAAGTTTGAGAACGATGTTAACGTATTCCAGCTGCCAAGGCACCAGTGCTGTAGATCTTTCAAGAAAATGCAGTTCATGTGCCCTCGCTTACGGTCTGTGTGTGTGGAGAAAGCCAGTGCTTCATCCGCGTTTGGATTCTCCTGATCTGCGATAACCCAGCTTCTGCCGCAGTGTAAACAGTGAGCATTCCCGCGACAAGTTAGGCACGTCTGTTAAGTGGTCCCAGCCGTGGAAGCTCCTTGCTCTCTGCTCCCGACGACAGTTGGCACAAAGGGAGAATCTTATTAACGTGATGCTGCTTGTAAGGAGACTTCTTTTAAAATTTAACAGAAACGGAATGTTGATATTCGAGTGTTAATCTGGCACTTCGACACTTTGGAAGTCGAGCCCGTCATATCGGAGAGGATTCCCGCTGCTTTGGTAATCGCTCTGCCACAAGTCGTCACGGCTGTGCCACGACAGCTCCCGCGAGCACCGCCCAGCCGGAGGGACATGGTGGGCGCGCGTGCAGACGGGCAGCGATGCCGCCGGAGTGAAATAGCCGCTTCCCGGTTGTCACTTTCTGTTTCCTTTTTTGTGAATGGAAAAGCCGAGACAGCGTTATTGAGCCAATTTCCTCCTACCCATGAATTTTGAAAATTCCAGTTAGAAATTAGAAATAGAAGCAGAGGTTTAAAAACTAGGGTAAAGGAAGAAGACAGTAGAAAAAATGCATTCCTGGTCCCCTGGCTGTCGAGGACTGTGGGCAGAGACAGGTCACCCGCCCGCAGGAGTGGCCGGAAGAGCCCGCAAGGCGCCGGGCACTCACGCAGTGTGGAGAGGAGCGGTGAGAGGCCTGTTCCTCGCGGGCGGCAGGCTGGACGCCGTCTCCCGAGCACCCAGGTGAGGTGCATCGTGGTGTCTCTCCCCCCCGTGGAGGGGACAGTCGTTCCCTTGAGGGTCCTGCAGAACGGAACATGCAGCGGCCTCTTCTGTGTGGGATTCGCCTCAGGATGTCTAGTGCCTCGGGGGGGGGAGGGGGCACAGGTGAAGCGAGACGGGCTGTGGGTAGATGGCTGTGAACCATGTGACGGGCACATCGAGGGCTCATAGGTTTCCTTCTATTTTTGTGTGTGTTCGCGGTTTTCCATCACAAAAAGCAAAGCAGAAACTGGGCATCTGTGAGTCTAGAATGACTTTCAGAGCAGGGGGAAGTGAGCGGCCCTGGGCGGTCGCGGGTGCAGATGGCGTCCGCACCGCTGTGCTCAGGGCCGCAGGCGGGGCAGCCAGCTGGGACTCCTGAATCAAGTTCACGTAGGTCACAGCGAGTCGGCTGCTTACGTGATGCTGTTTCACTCTGATGTTCCGGGCCTCGAGCTGGACAAGACACAGCCATGTCTGTGAGACCCCACAGCTGAGAAGACAAGACAGACAATTAGCCACCAGGGAGTAGAGCGACACAGGGCCAAGTTCAGATGAGTGGGGCTTGGAAGGGGTGAAGCTGCGCAGGGAGTTGGGAAGAGAGCCCGGTGGCTGGGAGGGCCTGCAGGGAAGCCCCTTCCTCCGAAGGGTGGATGGTGAATTTTTAAAAAAAACTTGTTGATTTTATGTTGAGGGGGCGGGGCGGAGGGAGCGGGAGAGACGCCCAAGCAGGCTCCTCGCTCAGCGCAGGGCCCCACACGGGGCTGCATCCCACAAACCAGGAGATCACGCGCCCTGGAGGGTGAATTTTTAGGAGTGTTTGGAGTCCAGGCGACAGGGCAGCCCCTCTGCCCTTAGCGCTTCGACCTCTTCCGGCAGAACGAGGATAATGCAGTTAACACGCGTTGCCTGGGTCCTGCGAGCTGGGGGTGAAGGGCAGCGCCTTGTTAAGGGTCAGCACGGGGGGGGAGGGGTGCGTGGTCATGGTGAGTTTCGTGGAGTCAGACAGACTCGGATCCACGTAGTGGCCCCGTGGCTTCCTTGGACTTGGGGCCAAGTCCCTGAGCCGCGTGGCCTGTGCCCCAGGGTGTGACGTGGTGACGCTGACAGGGCCGTGGGTGCCTCCCGCACCCCCCGGGGCACGGGCTCCCTCCGCGCTAGCAGCCGTCCTTTCCCTCCGGAGCGTGGGGCCTGCAGGGCGAGATGCTCTGTGGCCGCCGCGCGGTTGTGTCGGCGGCTTGCCAGCTCGTGGCCGCTGCGGGGGCGGCCGTGCTCCTGATCGTGACCAGAAAGGATGCTGAAGCCTTTGAGGGCTTGCGTGCCTCTGTGCCACAGGGCCCTGAGGTCACGGGTAGGGCTGTGCTCACACCCCGTCTCTGAAGGAGGTGGGACCCGTGGAGCAGGAGACGGGCTCGCAGGCCCGGGCTGCTGGCGAGCGGGCTGGGACCGGGCCCTGCGGACGGCAACGGGGAAGCCGTGTGCTCGGTGAGCGCAGCTGGTTAGAGGGGCAGTGGCGGTACCCAGCGCCCCGACGTGCCGGCTCGGTGTTCTGGGGCCGTCGGAACAGAGTACCGCAGTCGGGCTGAGAAGCGCCGGGGGCCGTTCTCCCAGCTCTGGAGGCCGCGAGGGCAGGTGCAGGCGTGGCGGCCCGGCTCCCTGGAGCCTGGGGGCTCCTACTTGCCCTCGCGGCTGCTAGTGGGGCCGCCGGCGCTCGGGCACATCCTCGTCACACGGCCGTCTTCCTCACAGGGGCCCGAGTCGGGTTGGGTGAAGGGCGCCCCCAGCCCCGGCATGACTTCGTGGTAACTAATTACCCCGCGCCGACCCTTGCTCCCAGTATGGTTCACGCTGAGGCTCTGGGGCCGGGCCTTCAACGTCTGTGTGTCTGCGGACACAGTTCAACCCGTAGCTCTCGTCCTGTTAACACAGCACAAAGGAAACATTCTCAGCGAGGTCACTCCAGGCGTCTTTCTCAACAACCGGTGTCATGTGAGAGCAGGGTGGTGGCTCTGTCCAACTCAGCACACAGCTGGGGGCCCAGCCGGGAGTCAGGGGCAAGTGCACCCGCGCCTGTCTGCGGGGCACCGCCCGGTGAGCGCGCTCTGCCCCCGCCGCACGCAGCTGCTTCCCAGCGTGGGCCCCACTGGCACCATGTGTCTTGCCTCCCTAGAAAGTGGTTCTTCACATGGGGTTCCTGGACCAGCAGAAGCACTGGAACGTGTCAGAATGCAGCAGTGTTCCGGACTGTTCTAGAATGTCCTAGATGTCCCACCCTGACCTGCTGAGTCAGAGACCCAGGCTTCTGGAGATTCTGATGCAACTCAAGTTTGAGAAGAGCCCTAGAATACTCTTTGATGGGGTTTAAACGTCTAGAACCGAGTGCTGGCACAGCGTCACCATGACTCCTCCCCTGGCCAGGACAGCCGCCTCCCTCTGAGTTACCTTCTACGTCTGCTTTGCCAAGGGTTTCCTCATTGAAGGTGGTTATTATCTGTGGGCGCCACTGGGAGTTACTCAGGGAAACACGAGGAACGCCAGCTAATATGTGTGTAAGGTCCTTGAAAAATGCGCGCTTTGGAAAAGTTAACCAGGGGTGTCAGTGTTCTTAACCTTCATAGAAAATAAGCAGTTCAAGGGGTGTCGCTTCTTGAAGATAAAACTTAGGGTGTCACGTTGGCTTATGTGGGCCAACGAACGGGTCCCCGTTGCTGAGTTCTGAGAAGTCCGGCCATTGTTTCCCAGGAAGCAGAGTGCCCCTCCCCCGGGGGCCGTCCCTTCTGTGCACCAGCGAAGTCACGTGCTGTGGCACCACGCTCCTGTCTCAGCTCACCGTTTGTGCTCACATGAACGTTTCTGAGATGTTTTCCTTTTTATATTTTCCATTTTAGTGCAGGAAGAATGATGATGGGGACACAAATGTTGTGGTTGAAAAGGACCATTTCATGGATGACTTCTTCCATCAGGTAAGAGCCCCCGAAGGAAACCCAGCCACACTTCCCCAGACACGGGTGATGTGCCTGAGTGTTTGTCTTATTTGAAATAATACTAAAGGTAATATTATAAAGAGTTGCTGTTTGAATTACGTTCAAGTTCGCTAGAACTTTTTTTTTTTTTATATTTTTATTTCTAGGAGAGAGAGAGACAGCGTGAGCAGGGGAGGGTCAGAGAGAGAGGGAGTCACAGACTGAAACAGGCTCCAGGCTCTGAGCTGGCAGTCAGCACAGAGCCCGATGCGGGGCCCGAACCCACGAACCGCGAGATCANTGCGGGGCCCGAACCCACGAACCGCGAGATCATGACCTAAACGAAAGTCGGACGCTTAACCGACTAAGCTGCCCAGGCGCCCCAAAGTTCGCTAGAACTTGTAGTGCCCTTAAAGTGCGCGGCAGCGCGGAGCCGTCCTCCCAGGAAGCACGCCTGGGGAGGCGCTGGGCAGTGGCCCGGAGGCTTTGCGCCCCAGGGCTGGGTGGCACCTGGCCAGGCCTTCTCTCCTGACATGGATGCGGTGGGTGGAGAGGACTCCTCCCCGGACAGGCCCCCCCAGAGCTTGCCACGCCTGGGTTCTTACCCTGGGATCAGTGGTATCCTCCAAACGAAGGCCACCACCCGGTCCTTTCCAGGGGGAGTCTTGGTGGCAGAGGTGCCCTGATGGCTCTGGGTCGGGAGCACACAGCGCTCCCTCTTCTTCCACAGGGTCCCCACACGGTGACAGCGCATCAGAGAGTTCCTGGTGTATATTTTCTGAAACCACTGAACGGATCTTAAATTCCACGACCGAGAAGCCTTAGACACGAGCAGGCATATCCTTGTGGGAACGCCGCTGTGTCGTCCGTCAGCCTGGCCTTTCCCCGAGGTGCACCAGGGCCAGTGCCCTGAGCTGCGGCCCTTGGATCTGACCTTGTACCGTGCCCACCGCCCCGGGCTGGCTGCAGGCCTCTCCTCCCCCTCAGCTCCCCACGGCTGGCCTTGGGCATATACTGTGTGTAAATTCTTAAACCCAAGCAATAGTTGACCAAATTGTGCGTGAAATCAAATTTTTAAAAAAATTTTTATATAGTTTTTTATTTATTTTTGAGACAGAGCATGAGTGGGGGAGGGGCAGAGAGAGAGAGGGAGACACAGAATCTGAAACAGGCTCCAGGCTCTGAGCTGTCAGCACAGAACCTGATGCGGGGCTCGAACCCACAAACCATGAGATCGTGACCTGAGCTGAAGTCAGATGCTCAACTGACTGAGCCATCCAGGTGCCCCATGAAATCAGATTTTTTAAACTGAGTCACAGAACAAATAATTGGACTTCGTTAAATGTGAAGAAACGTGTCTGTTATCTTTTTTTTTTACTGATGAAAACTTCATTTGCAGGGTTTATTTTGGTGATACTGAATTTAGTCTAACAGTTTCAATGGACTCAAATCCAAGGACAGTCTACACTGGCCTATCAGGGTGCAGATTTGAAAACAGATAATATATTAATAAAAAATTAGAGGTTATTAGTTTTCAGAATTCACTGAATACGTAGTATAAGTCTAGTCCCTGGGTTTACGTATTTATTATGTTAGTTCCTGACTTTACCTTGTGGAAAAACATGAAATCAAATTGTTTGATACAGAGACTTACTTTAAGGCGTAAAGAAGTTAAGATACTGAATTTCCTTGTTTTGATTTGGAAATGAGACTCTTTATTGTCTTGAGCTTACCTTCCCATTTGTGAAATTATTTTTCTATTTTTACCCCCTTTATCGGGATGCTTAATTCTTCCAGAATTCAATTCTTCGTAAAAACGTATTTATTTTAAAGACCCTCCTGGCATTAAGTGTCATTACATCCAGCAGAAGAACTGTATACGGCAGGTCATCAAATGCCACTGCCCATGTTTCTGGTCCCCACGCGTGGGCCGTGTCGGCTGCAGGTGCCCCCGAGGCGCAGGAACGGGACCCGTGCCCGAGGCCTCAGGAGCGCCAGGGTCCAGCCGAGCTTCAGGTTTTCACTTGTTAGCGAGTCGTCGTATTTTACAGTTAAGTCTTGTGGACAGTTTCTTAGACAACAGATGATGTTAATACAAACTGGTGTTTTGAAAATGGCATTTGGATCTTGAATATCACACAGAACGTTGTAAAAGATAGAATTTTGCACGTGGCCAGTGTTTGGTTAAGGACTTTGGAGAGTGCCCTCTGGGCAGCCAGGGAAGGCCCCCTCTGCGAAGGTGATTTGGAAGGGACAGAAAGAGACCCTGTGTCATGTCCGTGGGAGCTGGCGCACCGTCCCGTCCGCCAGCACCCTGTGTCAGTGACAGTCCCCTTGTCATCCCCCACGGGGGCTTCTGCCACACGGTGCCGGGGGTACGAACGCCGACTCCACAGGTGTGCAGACAGTGCCTTTGTGCCCCGTGACGGTTGTGCGCCAGGTTTGTGCTGAAACAGCAGACATTTACAAGAATTGGTTGGGGTGCCTTGGGCTCACTCGGTTAAGTGTCCGACTTCAGCTCAGGTCATGATCTCACAGTCTGTGGGTTCAAGTCCCACGTCGGGCTCTGTGCTGACAGCTCAGAGCCTGGAGCTGCTTCGGATTCTCTGTCTCCCTCTCTCTGACCCTCCTTGTTCATATTCTCTCTCAAAAAATAAACAAACGTTAACATTTAGAAAACAAATAAATGAAAGAATCGGTTTTTACTTGATGCATCGTTTTCCCACGGTTAGTAAGCTTACACCGTGAGTGTGTGAAGTATGCGCATTTCTCCCAGAAGTTAGGCGGGTGGAAGTAGCCCCGGCCTGGAGTCGCTCTTCCCCTACTGGGGACACGGCATCTGTGCCACCAGACCTCCAGCACTTGCACGCTCAGTGTGCTTCGCAGTTTGGACGGGGGTCCCCAGGGGTCAAGACCACGTTCATGGTGATACTGAGATACTGTCTTTTCCCCTCCTCCCCTCGCGAGCACGTGCGTGGACTGAGTCCCCCATCGCTGCTCTGACAGATCACCACCACCCGGGCGGCTGGACCCACACACTCGCGTTCTCTCCTGGTCTAGACGGCAGGAGTCCGAGGCGAGCATGCAGCGCTCACACCGCGTGCCCACGGGGCTGGCTCCTTGGGGAGGTGCCACGCAAGCGTCCATTTCGTCCTTTCCAGTGATGGCCCTTAGAGCACATCGCTCCGGCCTCTGCTTCTGTTATCTCACCCCTGTCTTCTGAACACCAGCTTCTCGCCGCCTCCTTGTAAGGACTCTTGTGATTATTTTGGAGCAGCTCCGATAACCCAGGCTCGTTCCTCTCGGGACTCAGCCCCGTCTGCAAAGTCCCTGTCGCCCTGCCCGGAAGCACTCACAGGCCTAGGGTGTGGACATCTACCACACGTGGGAGGATTTTGTAATCACTGTTTTAAAATGAATCAGTCAGTATTGAAGCTGTTGCTCCGCTGTGGTAATTCTAGATACGTGGATCTATTGGGATGAGTCGTGCTGACGAGTACGTTACAGATGGAAACATGTTGGGTAGCGAGGGTCACTAGGTGAAAACCATGACCATGACGGTAAACACCTCCCCATGTGGAGTATTCCTGCTGATGTACCTTGTGCCTTTTTTTTTCTTAAATATTTTTAATGTTTATTTTTGAGAGAGACAGAGCACGAGTGGGGCAGGGAGAGGGAGACACAGAATCGGAAGGAGGGTCCAGGCCCTGAGCTGTCAGCACAGAGCCTGGCTAGGGGCTTGAACTTACAGACCATGAGATTGTGACCTGAGCGGAAGTAGGATGCTTCACCGGCTGAACCCCCAGCGCCCCTTTCCGCCGGGGCAGACGGCCCCGTGCTCGCAGTTGACATCACCTGCGGCAGCACGTAGGTCTCGATGGTAAAGGTTTGTACGGCCTGATGGGTTTGTCACTGAAGATTGAAGGAAACTGCCTTAGTCGTGACCGTACAGAGCATCTGGTGCGTTTTTCTTTGTCTTTAAATAGTTACCAATGTGAGAATGGTACAGGCTGCTACTCCTTCCTGTGGTCACTAGTCATTTACTTCCCTCCTTTATCCTTCCCTTTCCAGGAAATGGCAAGTGGTGGCGAATGTACATTGCCACCACGGTGGTGACTCTCTGTGTCTTCCTAGGTTGAGGAGATCAGGACCAGTATAGCGAAAATAGCTCAGTGCGTCGAAGAAGTGAAGAAGAACCACAGCATCATTCTTTCTGCACCAAACCCAGAAGGAAGTAAGTTGTCGGCTTTGAGAAGAAGTGCGTCTGTCTGTCTGTCTGTCTGTCTGTGTGCCTGTCTCTTGGCGCTGCCTATGACACAGGCCAGACACAGGCCACAGCCCGTCTGATGCAGGGCGGCCGAGGTGCTGTCGGCCAGGCCCAGGCCCGCGGCTGTGTCCTGTCCAGGAGAATGTGCCAGAATGGCGTTGCTGAGCCGTGGGGCCGTGTCGGTGATGGGGCCTCAGATGTGCACTTTCTGTGTCCCTGGCTAAACAGGAATGACGGGATTTTGTGTTCAAATGAAAGGTAGTAAGAAATTGTTCTGGAAAACTGCGTCTGTCAGGGCCGGTTGACAGGTGACGTGGAGAAGAAAGGCCCTGGCATGGAGTGTGCTGTTCAGGATGTTTGTTAAGACAGCAGGTAAGACGTGACTTTAAATTAGCTGCACATCAGGGCCTTGGCAGTGATAAGGGGGCGCTTCCTTCACCTGGCGAGGGAAATTCTGACCACTTCAGAGGTAAAATGGATCTGGATAAGCCAGAGATTGTGAACTGGAATCCGTACATCATTTTAGGGGGGAAATGGTGTCTTTACAATACTGAATCCTTCAGTCGGGGAGAATGGCCTGTCTGGCCTGTCCCTCTACCATCTGGACCTTCTTCAGTTTCTCTTGGTCGTGGTCTTCGGGGTTTGCAGCCCTGCGTTATATTTATTACCAGGTGCTTTACGTATCGGTGTTAATGTAAGTAGCATCTGGTAGGATGTTTATTTTCTATTCGTTTCTAAATACAGAAATAGGGTGGGCTTTTGTGTGTCGGCCGTGTGCCCCGCTGTCCTGATCACTTATGCTCTTAGTGTCCGTGTCGACTCCGACTCCATGGGACCGTCTGCACGCAGTCACGTCATTTGTGAATAATGACATGGTTTCCTTCCCTCTCACACTCTCTACTGTTAGGTGACGTATTCCAGTGACCTCTGTCGTGGGGTCGAGTGTACGTGGTCAGGGGCCACTCTTATTCTCTAATAAAGAGGAGAGTTGATAGCAACTTTTTGTCAGGTTATTTGATGTAGCCTTACATTGAAAAAAATAAAACTCTTAAATTGAAAAAAAAATGTTTTTAATGTTAAGATTTTGCATGTCTTGTAAAATAATGCTCTGATCCTCTGTGGATGCCTTATCTTATAATGTAGATGAATGTCTCCCAAAATGGGTTCTAGAGCACGAATCTCATCAGCTGGCCTGTGAAGCATGAGGTGTGGCACGAACTGCTTTGGGAGTCTCGTTATACCATAATCCCTCTTGGAAGTTACAGTGTTCTCAGAGCAATAAAGGCCCTGAGCAGTACTGCAATAAGGAAACCTGTGTAAACTTGGCTTAGTATGTTTGCCTGCAGAATTTTTAATTTGTAATTACTGTATTCTTTTTTTCTGAATATAATTTATTGTGAAAGTGGCTTATGTGCAACACCCAGTGCTCATCCCAACAAATGCCCTCCTCAGTGCCCATTGCCCATTTTCCCCTCCCCCCAATCCCTTCATCCACCCTTAGTTTGTTCTCTGTATTTAAATCTCTCGTGGTTTGCCTCCCTCCCTCCCTGTAACTATTTCCCCTCCCCCTCCCCCACGGTCCTCCGTTAAGTTCCTCCTGTTCCACATATGAGTGAAAACATATGGTGTCTGTCCTTCTCTGCCTGACTTATTTCGCTCAGCATAACACCCTCAAGGTCCATCCATGTTGCTACACAGGCCAGATTTCATTCTTTCTCATTGCCATGTAGTATTCCATCGTATAGATAAATCACATCTTCTTGATCCATTCATCCGTTGATGGACACTTAGGCTCTTTCCATGATTTAGCTATTGTGGAGAGTGCTGCTGTGAACATTGGGGCACATGTGCCCCTGTGCATCAGCACTCCTGTGTCCCTTGGGTAAATTCCTAGCAGTGCTGTTGCTGGGTCCTAGGGGAGTTCTAGTGTTAGTTTCCTGAGGAACCTCCACACTGTTTTCCAGAGGGGCTACACCAGGTTACATTCCCCCCAACAGTGTAGGAGGGTGCCCGTGTCTCCACGTCCTCGCCAGCATCTGTAGTTTCCTGAGTTGTGCATTTTAGCCACTGTTACCAGTGTGAGGCCCACAGAAAATTTTATGTGACACCACCTATTAACTTCTTAGTTAAATTTTGGGAAACCTGCATTTGAATAAATATTAGTGTATTTTTTCTTTTGAGTAATTTACCTCTGAAAACCTTTTGCTGCCGAGGAATAGCAGGTAAGACCCCTGTTTGAGCAGAGGCAGAACTCTGCTTCACAGGAGTCCCTACGGGGCCCTGAGTAAAACCATCGCTTTTTTCTCTTGCACGTTTCATGACAAAGTGCGAAGCAGAACGTGGGAGAGCAGCGTCCAGGTGCTTTCTTCCTTGGATTTGAACGGAGAAATAGTCACCCTGCCCTGCACGGCGGGGCCCTGGGGTGAGGGGCCCAGGTGCCGCGATGGCAGGGGCTGCCGATCCCCCCGGCCCGTTGGGGACCAGGGCTGGGGGGCCGGGGGGCCTGGGGGCCTCCGGGCCGAGCGGTGCCTGAGCACGGCGGCCACCAGGGGGCGCCTGGTGCCTGGGCCTGCGGCCGCCGGGCGGAGCGCCGTGTGCCGGTCGTTAGACATGCTTTTCACGCTTTTAGTGTGAAGTTCCTCAAACCCGCCGGGAGGTGGCCACGACAGTGCAGTGAAAATCCCTGCTCCCCTCACCTCGACCCACCGGTGGTCTACCTTTTCCCTCGTCGACCCCCCCCCCGTGCGTGTTCACACGTGTGCTTTCTGTGCCCGCTGCCACGCGCGCTGCGTGAGCGGTGCGTGTGCTGCCGGCGCTGCCCCCCCCCCCGCCTGCAGGGGGCGCTCTGCGCGCGGCCGTGATCTGACTCGGGGAGGTGGGCGCTGGTGAGAGCCCGCGGCCGACCTGCGGCCCCCGCTCCCTCTGCGCGCTGGGCGCTCCCCCGCTTTCCCGTCGCTCCTGCGCCCCCGCACCTGACGGCTTCCCTGACTCTTACGCGTAAAACAAAACGTGGCCCACGTTTGTCTTTTCTCCAGTTTGATCATTTTTTTGTCCCTAAATGCTTTTAGTCTGCTAGAATCATTGATGTTATATTGGGGCAGACACTCTTGTTCTGTGGTACTCTTTCTGTCTTTTCATGCTTTCTTTTTTTATGTCTTATTTATTTTTGAGAGAGAGAGAGACATAGAATGAGTGGGGGCAGGGCGGAGAGAGAGAGACACACAGAATCTGAAGCGGGGCTTGAACTCACGAACCACGAGATCATGACCTGAGCCGAAGTCGGACGCTCAACCGACTGAGCCACCCAAGCGCCCCCTCTCTTTTCATGCTTTTGTTTAGATCAGTTTTTAAGAATTTTATCTCCTCCACCATTAGCTTGTTTATATGAACTACTTCCTGTTGTTTGGTGGTTGTCCCCTAGATTATACTGTTGTTGTTTTTAATGTTTATTTCTTTTGAGAGACAGAGCATGTTGGAGCGTGGAGGGGCAGAGAGAGAGGGAGACAGAGAATCAGAGCAGGCCCCACACTGTCCGCGCAGAGCCCGAGGCGGGGCTCAGTCCCACGAACCGTGAGATCACGACCGGAGCTGAAATCAAGTCGGACACTTAACCGACTGAGCCATCCAGACACCCCGATAGCGTATATTCTTGATTTAAGATCTACTATAAATCTCTGCTTTTGCTACTTCTGGGTAAGACATGGACCTTAGGAAGCTGTACCCCATTTTTCCTTATATGCACAGATTGCCGTGTGTATGTGATAGATACATGTGATATGCCCCGCTGGAGGCCGGAGCCCGCTTTGGCAGGTTCAGGGGTCCCTGAAGGATGGACGGTGATCAGAGAATCTCCGGGGCATCTCTCACTCTCTTTCTCTTTCGCTGACACCGTCCATCCTTCAGGGACCCCTGGACCTGCCGGAGCCGGCGCAGCCTCGGGCAATGCCCCTCCTTTATCCTTGGGCCTCATACCTGCTATCTGAGACTCTCTCTTTCTCAAGAGCAGTGTTGGGGCGCCTGGGGGGCTCAGTGTGGTACGTGTCCGACGTTTGATTTTGGCTCAGGTTGTGATGCCAGGGTTGTGGGACCAAGCCCCGCGTCGGGCTCTGCGCTGAGTGTGGAGCTGCTTGAGATTCTCTCTCCCCGCTCGCCCCTGCCCCTCTTCCCTGCTTGTGCGAGCACTCTCTCTCGAGTTAAAAAAAAAAATCAAAGCACTATTACTGATTTTAGTAGGGGATATGCGGTTGTGTGAAACTTTCCGTTCGTTATCTCACTCTTGAAGGATGTTTTCACCAAGTGTAGGAGTCGGTTGGGAAGTCATTTTATTTGACCATCTTGAAGATTCTGAAGTTATCTTTCCAGTGCCCTTTTTTTTTTTTTTTTTTTTAAAGTCACCTGTCGAATTGCAGCTTTTTGGTTTTTGGTCTGTGGTTTAGCAGTTTCGTGCTGACGTTTGTGGATGTGGTTTTCTCTCTGTTTGCCCTGCTCTTCCCCGAGGCCGCTCTGGTCTTTGGGCCTGCGCCTCCGGCCGCCTCAGCCTCTGCCCTCGGGGTTCCCTGCCCCGTTCCCTGTCCTCTCTCTTCAGGAGGCTTGAAGTCTGTGTGGTCAGACCTCTGCACCGCACCCTGTCTCCTGCCCTCCGTTCTCCATTTCTCAGAGACGCCGTCTCCTCGTTCTATCGGGAAGTTGTGTTTCTGAGTCGTCTGTGGACTCTCTTCACCCGTTTTTTCTGGGTAAGAAAGTTTTCATTCCTACAGTTTCACCTGGTTCCTTTCTGTGCCACCCGGTTTTCTGACAAAATTCTTAATCTTGTGTTTTATCCCTTTGAGCGTAATGATGTCGAGTGTCTGTGTCTGATAATCCACCAACAGGTGCCGTGGCGTCTGTACGCCTGATCTGCTGTCCTGTGTTCGCCTGGTTATTTTCGATGGAGTCCCGGGCTTTGTACGTAAATGCTAGTGGCAATAATTCCAGTCCTAGGACACCGTTTTCTTTTCCTTTTCTTTCTTTTTTTCTTTTTTAAGTTTATTCACTGGGGCACCTGGGGGGCTCAGTCGGTTAGATGTCCCACTTTAGCTCAGGTCATGATCTCCCAGTTCGTGAGTCTAGGCCCCGTGTCAGGCTCTGCTGACGGCTCGGAGCCTGGAGCTGCTTCAGATTCTGTGTCTCCCTCTCTCTCTGCCCCTCCCCTGCTTGTGCTCTGTCTCTCTTTCTCTCTTAAAAATAAACATTAAAAAAAAAAAGATTTCCTTTACCATCCTTCATCTTTAAAAATAAATAAATACAAGTTTATTTACTTATTCCAAGAGAGACAGGAACAAAGCAAGTGGGGGAGGGGCAAAGAGCGAGGGAGAGAGAATCCCACGCAGGCTCCATGCTGTCAGTGCAGAGCCCAACACGGGGTTTGAACCCACATGGAAGATGTGAGATCATGACCCGAGCTGAAACCATGAGTTGGACTGAGCCACCCAGGTGCCCCAGTATTTTCTTTTTTAAAAGGTGATTTTTAAACATTGCTGACAGATGGCTCAGGGAGGGGGGGTGCTGCAGTCCTGGATCTGGTCGGTGAGGGCCCCTCCGCTGCGGCCAACAGCCTCCCGCTCCCGCAGCTGCCCCCTCCTGGGGGTCCTCCTAGATTTCTTCCCTGCCTGTTTAGCTTTATGATGTCTTTAGCAGATTAAACACACGTTTCGTCCAGCTTTCCTGACGGTTCCCAGCGGGAGCGTCCATAGTGCCGTGTCCGTTTCTCCATGGTTGGAATTGGCACCTTTGCCAAGTTCAGCCTTGCGGCCGCTTCTGTGACTAACAGTGCCCCTCTTTTGTCTCTCACTGGTGCCTGAGCCCCCGCCTGCCTGTGTGAGCAGGGAGCCCCGGGTCTCCCCGTCCTGGGACAGCCAGGGGCTTTCTCATCCAGTGAGGGCCGTGCTCCCGGGAGCACCAGCGGGCTGCAGGGCTCTGGTCCACCCGGCTCTGTCCTCACTGATGGAGACTTCTGCGCCTGCCCTGTGGTTCACAGCTGTCCCTGTCCCCAGCTGGGCCACACACCTGCACGCATCCTGCCCTGTGTGACTTTGCTGCAGACTCGGGCCCTGGCTCTGCCTGCCCAGACCCAGCGCAGCCACCCGCACTCCCCTGGGGGGCTCGCTCTGCTCCAGTAGAGGAGAGCACATGAGAGTTCGGGCGTATGGGAGAATTTTTTTCCAGAATATGGTTAATTTTTCTTTTCTTTCTTAGGTCTAGGTGTTAGTGATGGATCCAGTGAATTATATCACCAATTAATTGCTGCAACCAGCTCTTCTCAAGTATAGGTGCACATCACAGGCACCTGGGGGCTTGCTAGGTCCCGCCGCAGGTGGCAGAGTTGCGGGGCGGGCCGGGGCAGGGGAAGGCACATTTCTACCAAGCTCCCGCCTGCCCTGAGGCCCTGAGGCCTTTGAGAACCCCTGGCGAGATCAGTACTTTCTCTTAAGAAACAAAACACTCAAACATTTACCAAGAATAATGTTCCGTTTATAAGTTTAGTGGACATTACTGATGTTGGATATTATAGCTCAGATGTCTTTTTTTTTTTTTTAAGAAATAAAAGAAGAGCTTGAAGATTTGAACAAAGAAATCAAGAAAACTGCTAATAAAATCCGAGCCAAGTTGAAGTGTGAGTTTAAAGCTTTGTCTGTGTTTAACCACTGATGGGAGCACGTGGGTCATCTTTATTTCCTTCATCAGCTTTTATTCTCTGACATTTTTAAAAGTCCAGATTGTGAGCACTTTAAATTATCTGTATGTGTTTGGAATAGCAAGTCTTTTAAGTTATTCAGTATTCTAGAATTCTTAACCTACCGCTGTAAGAACAGAGAATGAGGAGCTAGAGCTAATGGCTGTTAATCTGCGAATTTAGGACAGAGCACGAACATTCCACAAGGTTAAGCATCTGCTGATAAGTTGTTAGCCTCTTATAGAGGCAGGTCTTTATGACATGTTCAGCCAAATTGCAGATATTTGAGAAGGTGAATAGTCTTTCCTACGAATCGCTGGTTTTTCTTAAATCCTTTACTTTTCGGTTCTGTTGAACATTAAGTGCGCGGAGTTTCGCTTCTGTGGTGCAGGGAATTCAGCTCCAAGAAGCTGCGGGGAGGGGGAGGGGGGCTGGAAAGACACGTTGTATTTAATTGTTACAAAGGAGCAGCAGATCCAGGAAGTCTGCGCAGATAGGAAAGAACTTGGTGGAAGCCGGGAGGTGGCCGCAGCAGCCGCCATTCACACCTTCAGCGGTGCACCCCTCGGGGGCTTAGGGGCTCCCACGTGCCAGGTGGCTGGAAGCCAGTCCGGACGGTGGCTTCATCGGCGTGGATTTCAGTGTATTTGAAAACAGAAGGATTTTCACCCCAAAGTACAACCACGGCGCCGGGATTATATCGAGGTCAAATCATCACGGTTCATTGTGGAACAGCCATCAGGATGGGTGCTTCCCCAGTGATCTTTCAATTTCTTTGTGTTTGAATTGGGTCCCAAGTAAGGATGCTACCCTGTGATTGGTGACATGTCACTTGAAGTCTTTAAAACTCAGATTCTCCTTCCATCTTTTCCTGGAGTGGTCTCTCTTGGCTGGAGAGACCAGGACGTTTGTCCGTCAGAATCTGCTACATTTCAGGCTTTTAAAGCTGATGTCACCACGATCCTTGGTGTTTCCTGTCGGTAGATGGTTAACTTCTCCAAACTCGACCAGGGTCAAGAGTTTTGTTTGTTTTTCTTTTAAATGTCAAGACAAAACACCTGTGTGTTTTTTTTTTTTAATTTTTTAAATGTTTTATTTATTTCTGAGAGAGAGAGAGAGAGAGCCTGAGCAGGGGAGGTTCAGAGAGAGAGGGAGATACAAGATCTGAAACAGGCTCCAGGCTGTGAGCTGGCAGCACAGTGCCTGACGCGGGGCTGGAACCGTGAGGTTATGACCTGAGCCGAAGTCGGGCACTTAACCGACTGAGCCACCAGGCGCCCCCAGAACACCTGGTTTTATTTTGTGATATTATCGACAATGGGCGATTACTGCCAAGATGCGTTTATGTGGAATTGAAAAGCAGTTTGAGGCTTGGCTTGAGAAACTTCCAGGTTTTAGTTTTAAAGGTGCCCCTTTTCCTGTTCATTTCCAGCTATCGAGCAGAGTTTTGATCAAGATGAGAGTGGGGAGCGGACCTCCGTGGATCTCCGGATACGACGAACCCAGGTTTGGCCGTTGGCCTCGTGAAGCGCAGGCCTCTTGACTCCCTTTCAGATCCAGAATAGTTGTTCGTATGTCACGTGAATCCTTATCGCGAAGAGAAGCTGTACTCAGTCCGGTGGCCGGCTCCAGTCTGCAGGCCCGCGTGGCGCCCTATCTGCATTTCCCGAGCCCTGCGGGGTCGGGGGGAGGGGTCTGCGGTGCCCACACTGGGGTCCGGGCCACGTCCGCCCAGCGGGAGGTGTCCCCTCTGTGAACGGGGGTGTTGTGAGCGCCACGCCGGGTGACTCGTCTGGAGCTGCCTGCCGCCCCCGTCGTGTCCAGCTGAAGGGCCGGCGTGGTTTCCGTGCCGCACTTACGGCAGGAGAAATGAGCGTCGTGTATTAATCACGTGTTTCCGTGTTACTAGCATTCGGTTCTGTCCCGGAAGTTTGTGGAGGTCATGACGCAGTACAACGAGGCGCAGACTCTGTTCCGGGAGCGAAGCAAAGGGCGCATCCAGCGGCAGCTAGAGATCAGTGAGTGCGCGGAAGGGCTGCCTTTGTTACACACGGACTTAGGGTCTGAGGGGAAAGTGCTGTTGCCCGCCTTGCGGGGCCTAAAGCCTTTTCACGGCTTCCTGTTCCTCGAATCACAAAATGTTTCCTTTATTTACATCCCTCAGGAAATTCTTGGTGAGTGGGTTTCAAGTACTTTCTTTTCTTTTTTTAATGTTTATTTTATTTTTCAGAGAGAGAGAGAGAGAGAGAGACCATGCATGTGGGTGTGAACAGGGGAGAGAGAAGAGGTAGAGAGAGAGAGAGTCCCAAGCAGGCTCCACACTGTCAGTGCAGAGCCCCACGTGGGGCTTGAACTCACCAACCGTGAGATCGTGACCTGAGCTGAAATCAAGAGTCGGAGGCTTAACCGACGGAGCCCCCCAGGCGCCCCTGCGTTTATTTCTAACTAGCATTACTTTTAGGGTGTTAATCAGATTTGGGAAACTTCCAGCCACTATTTGCTCAGGTGTTCCCCTTGCCCCAGCCCTCCCGGCCCCACCTTGGGAGACGGTCTCTGTGGCCTCACACTGACTGCCCTTTGCCCCAGACGGTCTTTCAAGGTCGTCTGCACAGCTGGCCGGCCGTTGTCCGCCTTGGACGATGGAGCTTTGCTTCCTCCGGACAGAAGGCAGTTTGCCGACTGCATAAAGGTCGGGCCTGCTTGCTCTCTGCTTCCCATTAGAGAAGACCGGGGCTCCTCGGCCGCGACTCGGCCTCATGATGGCCTCACGACGGGTGTGGCTTCCCCCAGGGCTGGGCGCGTCTCTCCGGCGACTTGGGGAGCCCAGAACAGCTGTGAACATGACCCTCATTCAGTGGCATCTCACCGATTTATTGGGAGCCAGTCAGCGTGTCCTGGGAGTGGTTTCCAGAGCGTGCAGGTCTGCGGTTTTCGCGTCCGCGCAGTCCAGTTTGGAACATCGCTGTCACCCGGAGAGGAGCCGTGCCCCGTCACCGGCCTGCCCTGTGCCTCCCCCCGGGCCCCTAGACAGCCACCGGCCTCCACAAGTTTGCCCGTTTCGGACACTTCCTGCGAACGGAATCACGCAGCCTGTGGTCTTTGGGACCTGGCCTCCTTCACATAACAGGCTTTTCAGGGCTCGGCCAGGCTGACCGTGTCGGCGCCTCCTCCTCTCTGGCTGACTTGTGTTGTGTCGTGTGCGTGGACCGCGTGGGTCTGCTCCTCACGTGGTGGGCATTTGGCTGTTCCCACTTAGGGCCAGAGGGTGAATGCTGCTGTGGCCCCTTTAATCAGGATGATGTTTACTCATTTAACTTTTTTTATGTGAGACACAAATTGTAAAAGATAACTATTATCAACCAGATTTTTCCCAAAACCTGTGACTATATTTTGTAGAGAATATTAATACACTTAACTCAAGGAAAAATACTAATAATCAAAACATAGCAGCTATTAAAGCATCTGATTCTAATACTCGGTCTTTATTTATGATCCTCTAATATAAGGTGATAACATATGTTGAAATCCTCTTTCCATAAGCCAGAGTTAGACTTTTACGAAAACCAATGTGCCGAAAAATCACATGTCCGCGCCCTTTTTATAGTTGTTTCTCATTCATACTAAAATTAGACTTTTTTATTCATTCTAATTATAAGGTTTTTTATGAGACCTTTCGAATTCTTCCTGCTTCTTAATCTTATGTTAATTTTTCTCATCATTAACACCTAAAAAAGTATATTTGAAAGCTTAGAACAGGGGCGCCTGGGTTGCTCTGTTGGTTAAGCATCCGACTTTGGCTCAGATCATGATCTCGTGGTTCGTGGGTTCGAGCCCTGTGCAAGCTCTGTGCTGACAGCTCAGAGCCTGGAGCCTGTTTCAGATTCTGCATCTTCCCCTCTCTCTGCCCCTCCCCTGCTCTTTCTCTCTCTCAAAAATAAATAAACATTAAAAAAAATTTTTTTAAAGGTTAAAACAGTGTTGCTTAGAAATTTCAATAAGTGGGGCACCGAGGAGGCTCAGTCGATTAAGCGTCTGACTCTTAATTTGGCTCAGGTCATGATCTCACAGTTTGTGCGTCCAGCTCTGTGCTAACAACTCAGAGCCTGCTTGGGATTCTCTCTCCCTCTCTCTCTGCCCCACCCCTCTCAAAATAAATTTAAAAAAAATTAACTCAGATTTAGTTGCCAACGTATGGTTGAAAAAAATCATTTAAAAAAATTTAATGTTTATCTTAGAGACAGACAGAGAGGCAGACAGAACGAGTGGGGAAGGGTCAGAGAGAGAGGGAGACACAGAACCCGAAGCAGGTTCCAAGCTCCGAGCTGTCAGCACAGAGCCTGATGCGGGGCTCGAACCCACGAACCGTGAGGTCATGACCTGAGCCGGAGCCGGACGCTCGACCCATGGCGCCCCCCCAGGCGCCCCCGCAGGGTCACGGCTCCGTCGCTCGTTCTGAGTGGGGCTCGTGCTCCTCCCGCAGCTGGAAGAACCACGACCGACGACGAGCTGGAAGAGATGCTGGAGAGCGGGAGCCCTTCCGTCTTCACCGCAGACGTGAGTGTCCGGAGGCTGGGGCCTGTCCGTGCGTGTGTGCGCTTTCGCTTGCAGAGCCGCCGGAGTTCATGCTCTTTCTCTTTTGTGTTTCTTTCTCCAAGATCATATCAGATTCACAGATTACTAGACAAGCTCTCAATGAAATTGAGTCCCGTCACAAGGACATCATGAAGCTGGAGACCAGCATCCGCGAGCTGCACGAGATGTTCACGGACATGGCCATGTTCGTCGAGACCCAGGTAGCTCACGTTTTCCCTTCTCCGGGACAGACGCCTGCCCTGCGTGATGTGGCAGATTCCGGGGTACCCGATAAAGCCATCAGTGTGGACCCACTGTCACCATTCAGGGACCGAGTGCAGTGTTCTCGTAGGACAGAAATGCTGGAAACAGCTTACCCTTCCAGCAGCGAGAGCCTGGCGCGCTTACAGTACCCGTATGCCCACGCGACAGCTCCCAGGGGCCCATGGGCAGCAGGCTCCTTCAGGGAGATTTTTAGTCAAATGTGCAAGTATTGTGCTGGAGTTCTCATGGAGACGGAGCCACAAGATCTTATTTTGTGTGACACACGCATGTGTATGTGTGCGGGTGAACTGGGCTCTCTAGAATAGTGTGCAGAAGGAAGGAGATACACCAGATAGCACGGTAACAGTGGGTCCGTGGGGACTTCATTTTCTTCTCTAAAACACACGTATTTTCAAGTTCTCTGCAAGGAGCCCGCAGTGGGACAATAATTGGGAGGAACGTTTTAAAAATCTTTAGAAGAGTAGGCCCGGGGGGCGTCGTCCGCGGCACAGAGAGGAGCCTGTGCTCCCCGCGGGCGGGCAGGGCACGCGACCCCAGGCTGCGAAGGCTCCCCCACAAGAGAACAGAAGTGTAGATGGTTCTTAACAAACATGAAATTCAGCGTAAACCACATGTGTTCCCGTTAGGTGTGCGGATGCGTGTGTTCTGGCTCCCTGACTCCCCAGCAGCCCCCCTGCCACTTGCCCGCGGCTGCTCACTGAGTCGGGGCTCAGGGTTCGGCTGACGCCTGTGCCCTAGGAGCACCCACGTCAGACTCTGTGGGTAGATTGTCCTCACTCACTGGCAGGCTGGTTTCGGACGCGCAGCAGGAGCCGCCCGGGAGAAGCTCAGCACCCAGCTGGCCTGTTCCCCGGAGCGTATGAGGAGGATGGGAAACCGTCGTGTGCGGTTCTCTCTCCACGTGGGTCGCTGCCCTGAGGAACACTGTTTATTTGGAGGACGCTTGTCATAAACTACTTGAAACGCTCAGGGCCCGTGCGATCGGCAGGGGAAAGAACAGCCACGCGCAGCCTCCCCCTCTGGCCTGGGGGGGCCTTGCCGATCCCACACAAGCAGTGTTGTTTCTGCCAGCTTCTTTTCAGGAAGTGTTGCCAAGGAGCGAAGGAGAGTCTAGGCCGTACGGGCCCCGCAATGTTTCTGTAATTTCGAAAGATCTTAGAGTGCTTTAGATCTTTAAAATAATTTTTTTTAAATGTTTTTATTTCTGAGAGAGAGAGAGACAGCATGATCAGGGGAGGGTCAGAGAGAGAGGGAGACACAGAATCTGAAACAGGCTCTAGGCTCTGAGCTGTCAGCACAGAGCCCGAAGCGGGGCTCGAACCCATGAACCATGAGATCATGACCTGAGCCGAAGTCGGACGCTTAACCCACTGAGTTACCCAGGCGCCCCTAGATCTGAATTATAAAGGCTTTCCACCAAGTATATTGTGTTAAGGTCCATTAGAAAAATGGCCATATTCTCAGCTTTGTTTCATCATTTCCCTTTAGAAGTCTGTTAGTCATGCACTATATTGACTCGTCTAATTCAAACTATGTGTAGAGTCAAAACCACTAATAAGCTTGAGCTTGTGAGCGTGTGAGTTAATTATGCGTCGTTCTCCAAATGCTGCGCTGTCACTGCCGCAGAGCGTGTCTGCCGTGGACAGAGAGTCAGGTACGGTCTCCCCTCCCCTCACCGCCCTGCGTCCGCCTTGGGCCGCGGGTTTCCTTCACTTGGCGAACTTAACGTCCAACAGACCGATGTTTTAAACAGTCCCCCACGAGGTCCTCCACACTGGGAAGGGCGTCACTGTAAATGGCATGTGTGGGAATAATACGAGGTGGGTCTTGCCTTGAGGTGGCTGCCCATCCCTGGCTGTGCCCGTCCCTGCGTGTGCCCACTGCCATGAGGCGCCAGAGGAAAGCAGGCCTCAGAATGTGCTCTGTTGTGGCCCGTCCGTCTCATCCTGTTCACGCTTGTAAAGTGTAAAGTACATCTTGATCACATCGCATCAGCACGTTTATAATGTTCTCATGTTTTCATAACATGGAAAACATTTGTGTCCGTCATGTGCACGTCATGTTTGGGTCAGGATGTCGTCGGTGCTGTGGCGGCCTGAAGGTGGGCGAGTCATGGGAAAACACCCTCTAAGTCTGACACTTTTTGTTTCTAGGGTGAAATGATCAACAACATAGAAAAAAATGTCATGAATGCCACGGACTACATAGAACACGCTAAAGAAGAAACGAAAAAGGCGATTAAATATCACAGCAAAGCTAGAAGGGTGAGTTTGGTTTTTAAGAATGAAAGCACATTTTTCTATTTCTCTTTATTGATGTGACCCAACCTGATAGGCATCCAAAGAGATAAATGATTTCTTAAGTTTTTATTTCATTATAAAAATGAAAAAAGCCACCAGCCTGGCCTCCCCCCCCGTCTCTCTGCAGCTCCCATGTTGTGGGCCATCAGCTGGCGGGAGGCATAAAGCTAACAGGCTTGGACGTTCTCAAAGTTGTCGGTGCACATTTTGTGCAGTGAACACTCAATTCTCTCCTTGGGGTCCTGGCTACAGGTCGGGTCTGGAGGAAGAACATTCCTGAGACCAGACCTAAGGCCCCTGGAGCCCCTGCAGCGGCCCCACTCGGGCTTTGGGAGTCGTCGTGTCTGTACCTGAGTCCTGACTGTGCGTGTGAGCGGAGCCCTCGTAAGAACACGATGAAATGACAAACTTAAGTCCTGACTCCAGGAAAGAGAACTCTCCCCGCAGTTCCCGGGTGTCCTTGTCCCCCCAGTGCGGAAGGTTGACACTGAGCCCCCAGCTGGGCCCCCGTCCCGAGAGAGGGCCGTGCGGCTCACGTGCCTTCCCGGGGCTGCCTGCCCAGTGCCCGTCCGGCGGGGTCCCCTGCGCTGCCCGCGGAGGCCCTTCTGAGAGGCGGTTCCAGGTCCCGGGGGGAGAGGAGGGGCGAGGGTTCGTGCGTAGAGCGAGCCGTGCGGGCTGAACGCGGGCATCAGACAGGAGGCACGCGTGGGTCTGCGCGGCTGGCGGAGCCCCTGCTTTTCCCGGGGTGCAGCTGCTTGTCACTCTGAGATGCGAGGCGGGGCTGCTGGCGTCATGTGTCCCCGCTGCTTCAGCGGCTCCTGAGGGACATGAGGGGATGGGGCGCACACAGGAAGGTCTCCCCGTCCCCCCAGGTCCGCGGGGACTTGGTGACAGAGTCCTTAGCCAAGGGTGGCTCCCTTCCCTTCTCGTGACCCAACCAGCGGGGCGGGGCAGCGAGAACTTGAGGGAAGAGTCGACTGCTTTGAACAGACGGTGAGGTGACCGAGGTGACCGTCTCCACCCTAAGCTACGGGGACGGTTGTCCCATGTGTCCGTAAACACCCGACAGAGAACCCACGGCGCCTACTTGAGCTCGTCACCTGCTCCCAGACGCCGCCCTGTCCCCGCTCACGTGGTGGCTGTCCCTCCCCGGGCGGGTGATCCGGCCTCTGTGGCCTGGCGGCTGCGGTGAAGGACGTCCCTGCCAACAGCGAGCAAACAAGGGGCCAAAGAGGGCGGGAACCTCTGATTTCTTAGCTCACCAAGCCGGCCCGCGGCTGTGCGCGTGGGAGGCCTCAGCCCCTCGGACTTGCCGCACAGGGGACCCTGCTGTCCTGAGGGTTCTAGAACCGTCCGTCTCCAAGTGGCCTAACCTTATTCAAGTAAAAACCACCCTTTTTAAGAACTAAAAACTGCTAAACAATTAATTAGATGCCCTGTAACTTACATGTTAAGAGATTCCCGTGGGTTTATTTTCACTGAATGATGCCTTCTAATGTGGCGATATGAAATTACTGTGATGTAACCAGCTTGCTTTTCTTTGACAGAAAAAGTGGATAATTGTGGCTGTGTCAGTGGTTGTGGTTGCCATAATTGCTCTAATTATTGGTTTATCGGTCGGCAAATGACGGTGTGGATAACGTCCGTGTGCGTGTCCCCTGCCAGCAAGGCAGTAAGTAACTAATCAACTAATGTACTTATTAACTGTCCCAATGAGGTAACTGCTGCTGGCCCTGTTCTCACCCACCTACAAGCAACAGCTGCCCGCGAGCCGAGCGGAGCCAGGCCAGCGGTCGCCCGGCCCTGCATGTGCCCAGCGCGGCGCGCGGAGAGTGATCGGGTAGGGGGGGGTCTTTACCCGGGGACCCCCTCCTCCTGCTCCTCGCAGCCTCCTGGGCGATCGCACCACCCCCCCCAGCCCCCTGCTCATATTGGATGTCGTGGCCACGGCCTGGAGGCGCCCTCTCCGTTAGCTGGCACTTAGTGGGTTAACGCACCTTTAGGTTTTGGCTTTTGGAATAATTGCTTTCTGGGACCTCCCCACCTGTGGTGTGACTGTGGGTCGGAGGGAAGGGAACTGGAGTTTTCTGGAAAAGTCCGGGGGGTGAAAATCCTCCATCTCCCCGGGTTCCATGAGCCGGTGTCTCATTCGTTTTCCGACACCTCCTTCCTGACGTGAACACCGGTGCCGGGCCTGTGAGAGACCGGGTCCCTGGTAGAGAAGACCTCCGTCGTTTCTGAAAGTGACTTTATTTTGTTCACCGTTTGACTGTCCCCTGTCTCCAGACTCCGGTACGCTGGTGTTTCCCTCCTTGTGTGGGAGCGCCCTCCTCGCGTGCCTGGGGAAGCCGGCCGTGGCCCAGGAGCTCCGACCGTCCTGACGTGCCCGCTGTCGGACGGTGACGGGCAGGCCTTGAGGGATCCGTCCTCTCCTTACAAAAGCGGCTGCCAGCTCCTGGTGGGCACTTTATTTCTGCAAAGTGAGATAGTAGAGGAGAGGGCGGTCCCGGCACGGCTAGGTCCCCAGCCCCTTTCCGGTCTGGGACAGCCCGTGCGTGTGGCTTCCCTGGTGCTGCCCCGCTAGCAGTGCTGGAAAAAGCAATGTGTGTGATTCTCTTTGCTGGTGTAATAGCATTTAAAAACTATGTTTTAAAAAGATTTTTTTAAAACATTTATTTATTTTTGAGAGATCGAGAGAGACAGAGCACGAGCAGGGGAGGGGCAGAGAAAGAGGGAAAGACAGAATACGAAGCAGCTCCAGGCTCCGAGCTGTCAGCACAGAGCCCGACACGGGGCTCGAACCCATGAACTGCGAGATCATGACCTGAGCTGAAGTTAGACGCTTAACCGACTGAGCCATCCAGGCCCCCTAAAAACTATTTTTATAATTGCTTTAAAAATACGTATTTTTAAAATTTTTCTTAGTGGTCATAATATGGTTGGTTGAATGTGGTTAAGCTTAGTATTAAAATTCGTTCTTAGATTAAACCAAGTGATGTTTGGTGATACCATTAAATGAATACAGGTTTTAAAGTTTATTTTGAGAGAGAGAGAGAGAGTGTGAGTGGGGGAGGTGCAGAGAGAGGGGAGGAGAGAGAGAATCCGATACAGGCTTAATGCTGTCAGCACAGAGCCTGACTCGGGGCTCAAACCCATGACACTGTGGGATCATGACCTGAGCCAAAATCAAGACTCAGTTGCTCAAGTGACTGAGCACCCCAGGCACCCCTTCTCAGGGCAGTTCCTCAGGGGGCAGTGGGCTTCTTCTGGGCCCTGGGCCTGGATGCTGGTTTACCCTAAGGTCTTTTTTTTTTTTTTTAATATTTTTATTTATCTCTAGGAGAGAGAGAGAGACAGCGTGAGCAGGGGAGGGTCAGAGAGAGAGGGAGACACAGACTGAAACAGGCTCCAGGCTCTGAGCTGGCAGTCAGCACAGAGCCCGACGCGGGGCTCGAACCCACGAACCGCGAGATCATGACCTGAGCCAAAGTCGGATGCTTAACCGACTAAGCCACCCAGGCGCCCCTATCCTAAGGTCTTTAAATACAAACATAGAACAGTCCTCACTAATAAGACACACACCAGGGGCGCCTGGGTGGCTCAGTCAGTTAAGCGTCTGACTTTGGCTCAGGTCATGATCTCACGGCTGGCTCGTGGGTTCGAGCCTGGCGTCGGGCTCTGTGCTGACAGCTCAGGCCTGGAGCCTGTTTCAGATTCTGTGTCTCTCTCTCTCTGACCCTCCCCTGATCATGCTGTCTCTCTCTCAGAAATAAATAAAACATTAAAAAAACCCCACCAGAGTATACAATTATTTCTTTTATACAAATGCAGTGACGTCTTAATTACACTTTTGAAAAAGTAACCTATTCTCTCAGCAAGTAGTTGGGGGGAGCCTCCTGGCAGGCAGGGCGCCAAGCGGATGCCTTCTGTGGAGGTGACGTGGGCCCCACAGCCCTGCGGCGCGGGCGGGACTGCCGCTCCGTTTCCTAGCGGGGCAGGCTTATATCTACGAGGTGGTGGCACCACGACCGGCTCAGAGCAGGACTGACGCCCCAGGGCGCGCTGCCCGCGAAGGAGAAGGGCACGCGTGGGGGTCGCGCCGTCGCAGCGCATGGACAAGAACGGTTGTTGACGCTGGAGGTGCGGGTGCGGGAACCCAGCTGTCGTGGGCTTCGGCGGGCAGCACCCTGGGCACTGGAAGTCACAGCTCACGCCCTGGGTGGCCGTTCTCCCAGGGACCCCGGGGGCAGTGACCAGGCCCCGGAGCTGGGGGGGGGGGGGGGGGCCGGGGGGCAGGGAATGGCTCCTTCCTCAAAGCTGTCTCCCCGCTGCCAGGGGCCGTGTGAGCCCTAGCACAGCCTCCCGGGACAGGGGGGGGGGGGGGGGGGGGGTGGCCCTGACGGGAAGGAAGGAGGCCCCAGGGGCCCAAGGGGAAGGCCGGCTCCGAGCAAGGTGCTAACTGCCGTCCGTGGGAGCGCGAGGTGGCGTGAGGCTCGTGTGCGGCCTGGTGGAGAGGGGTGTCCCGAAGGCCGCCCCCAGGCCCCGGGTAACTGGCCGGAAGTCCCCCAGGGCCCTGACGCTGACCGCCGGAGCACGCGGTGGCTGACGGGGGCGCCGGCGGCCCGTGCGGCGCAGGGGGGCTTCCCAGACGCAGGGGGGCGCGCCCGTGCCTCCGTGCCCTCCCTCCCGTGTCCCGCGGACGGTTCCCGGGGGAGACCTGGGACCAGCTCCGAAGCCGAACGCAGGCTGCCCTCCCGGCGGGGACGCCTGTTAACTAGGGCGGAACCGCGTCGTGAGCTGCCGCCCGCTCGGGGCCGCAGACGCGGGGGCGCCTCGCCCGGACCTGCCTCTCGCCTCCGCGTCCACACCGTATGTGAGGCTTTCTTCAGCAAATGGGAAAGAGACTCACTGAAAGTTTTAAAAAGATGGGCAGTGCGTCCGGGGAGTAGCGGTTCTCCGCCATCGTGGGGCCAGCAGGGGGTTTGCCGAGCGCCCGCCCCTCCCGCCACGAGCCAGCAGCTGTTGTTCTACCAGCGTCTGTGGCGATTGACTAAATTCCTTCAAGTCCGCGCGCACACCCGGTGCTCCGCCTCCGGAACTTTCCTTCCCCACCCCTCCCTTTTCTGTGACCTGTGGGACCCGGCGTTTTAAACTCTCCCAAATCCCAGGAGAAGTTTTTAAGAAATGACATTAGTGATTTCTTTCCTTTGATACCTTGCAAATTATGCAAATTAATTAATGTTTTTCTTTATCTTGCAGAAAATGATGTTCATTATTATTTGCGTAATTGTTTTGCTTGTGATCCTTGGAATTGTCCTGGCAACAACGTTGTCGTAGCAACCACATCCCGAGAGCCAGCGTCCTTGGAGTCAGACCACGCGCCGCAGCCGTGACCGAGCCCCGACCGAGCCCCTGCCGCCGTGCGGTGCTGGGCGCCCGTCTCTCGTCAGTGACGGCGGGGGTGGGGGGGCGGCGCCGCGGGACACATCCTTCAGGGAACCTCCTCGGGCGCGGGATGGGCGAAGAGCTAACCCAGACATCCTTGGACTCTGAAGGGCACAGCACCAAAAATGAACAATGTGAAACTTGTTGCAGTGGCCTTAAAATAGGGAATTATTGAAATTTTCTTTTTTTTTTTTTTTTTTTGTATTTCAGTGTTAAAAATACATGTGAAGTTTAATTAGGGATCTTTGATGTTATGGAGCTGTAAGATTTCAGGTCTGAGCCTTCCTCCGTCCCCGCCCCCCCCAGCTAACACGCTAATGAAGAGTCATTTTTTGTACTATGCTTGTGTTTTGTTTGTAACAAAAATTTTATCGTCACAGAGCTGTTTTGTAAGATACCTATAATTTTAAATGTTTATAAATTGTTTAATATATTAACACCTTAATTTACTCCATTTATATATATGGAACATTGCCTTGTGAAGTAAACAGGAAGCGTCATGATATTATTAGAGCCATCTTTGCACAGTCGTTTACAAAGTTTGCCGTTAGCACAGCGCACAACGGCGCAGAGCCCCCGGAAAGCCTTTCCAGTGCCTTCTATTCATACTGATTTATAAGGTTAAAATGCACCTGACAGCCTCCGGGACGTCTCCATTGTTGTACTCGGCTCCGAGTATCTCCTTCCTGCCCCTTGCCTGAGATAATAAATTAGTTACTGCATGTGAAAGGCCACCGCCTCTTATTTGTTCGTTAGAAATAAGGTTTGTGTGTCCTTGTTTACATTAGTAAGGTCTGAACTTAAGATGGTGAGAAGACCAAGATTAAGTACTTTCTAAAGTCAAGGAAGTTATTCCCAGACATTAAATCTTCTAACTGCAAACTGTTGTACAGATACTTACGCATGATCTCATTAAGTACTTCCTATCCTGCTGAACTGCAAAAGTGAATTCCCAAAGTGCATAGATAGGAATCCGCGATCATTAAACATTTGTATTACTCAGTAATGTTTTTAGTAGAATACGCTTTATTTTTTTTTATTTTTTTTTTTAAAATTTTTTTTTTTAATCTTTTATTTATTTCTAGGAGAGAGAGAGACAGTGTGAGCAGGGGAGGGTCAGAGAGAGAGGGAGTCACAGACTGAAACAGGCTCCAGGCTCTGAGCTGGCAGTCCGCACAGAGCCCGACGCGGGGCTCGAACCCACGAACCGCGAGATCATGACCTAAGCGAAAGTCAGACGCCCAACCGACTAAGCCACCCAGGCGCCCCAAATACGCTTTATTTTTTGACTTGTGTGATGGCTGGGCTCCTACTAGCCAGCGGACCCAGCTCTCATCATTTGTTTATGCGATCGGTCGCGTAAGCGCGTGCCTGTGTTCTGTCACTCTTTTGAAGTCTCGATAGAGACACACTTGATTCCACACAGTAAGTGTGAACGATGTTGAACAGCCTAGAAACTGTGTTCTTGATGTAATACGATTATGAATCCCACTCGTCCCTACTTTATGCACGCAACGGCTCTGCTCACACTCCGCTGTGAACAGATGTGCTCCCTTTGTGTGCTCATCGTCGCCCAGTGCTCGGAATTACGAGGGGAGCACTCTGGCTGTAACGTGTGTTTTTGAAAAGTCTTTAAGTGGCTGGTCAGCGGGGTACGCTCGCTACGTGTGCACAAGTCGGAGACGTGCCTTGAAGGATATGTAAACATTTAGCGATCGTGCCTGTATTAGTACAACTTCCGTGCGCCTGTTCGTCTGTGTCATTGTGTCCGCGTGGAGAGCAGCGCCGTGTGCTGGTGGCGGCCTGCGTGCGGCCAGGCGCGGGCTGCAGCCCAGGCTCCTTAGCCTCCCCTCCGGCCACAGTCTTCTGAGATTCACTGATTTTGTGCTTTTGTCATTGGAGTTATGGAAAAGCCTTTTGATTTCTGTTTAGGTGAACATTTAAGTCAGTCATCGGGTAGACCTGCTGTGCGTGTAAACCTCAAGCACCTGCCTGAGGTCAGATTTAAAAAAGAATGCATTTACAGGTTCACTTGTTACTTTTTATCATTTCTTCAAATATTTTGTTTACATAAAGAAAAAAACTGCCAGAGAACCAAAAACAAATTTACTTTTTGTCTTGTCATTTCTGGAAAGATTTTGGGGGGGTATTTTATTGCATATCTATTAATAAATTGTTCTACTAAGAAAATCACTCTTACCTGTGGCCCTTATTATGTATAATAGTGTGATGTGACTTAATGATGTTGATTTTTAAAAAATTTTTTAAATGTTTATTTTTGAGAGAGAGAGAGGGTGAGCAGGGGAGGGGCAGAGAGAGGGAGAGACTGAATCTGAAGCCAGCTCCAGGCTCTGAGCTGTCAGCACAGAGCCTGACGCGGGGCTCGAACCCACAGGCTGTGAGATCATGACCTGAGCCGAAGTCGGATGCTTAACCGACTGAGCCACCCAGGCGCCCCTGATGTTGGGGGTTTTGAGTTTTTGATTATTTTATCGTCTTTGTTGCGATTCGGAGTCTGCGGCTGGTGTCTTACACAGGAGCCCATCTGGGTTCTTGCTGGTTACGCAAGTGCTTATTCAGGGAATTTGGGTTTCATTTCAGAGTCACTGGCTTTGAATGGTTATGTGCACCGGACAGATTCTCCTTTGTTAATGGGGGGTGAGGGGAGGTCCTCCTGCCCCTGTGCTCTGAGCTATTTATCCTTTAGATTTCTTTTTCCCCTTTCAGAATTTTTCTTCAGTGGGAGTTCCTTAACCCATAACCCTTAAATCCTAACCATGTTGGAAAGTGATGTCCAAAACCACAGTTCCAAAAAAGAGAAGAAAGCGCTGGCGAGAGAGCCGGTGGGGGAACTGGCTCCGCGCTGCCTGTTCGGAGCCCCTTCCGCAACGGGTGTCCTTCCAAACTGCAATCTCCAAATACACATTCAGTAACGTTGCTCCTTCGTTCATGCTTTTTACATATGGTTTAGGTGACAAAGCGAATGAATTGTGTTAGTTTGAAGCCTCGGGAGCCCCCAGGCAGGCAGGGGGAGCAGGGGGGTCCAGAGGCAGGCAGAGCGCCGCAGCCGGGCGGGCAGCAGGGGCGCCGCACTCGCAGCCCCGTTGTCTTGCGGGACAGACGAGCAGGTTTGGGCCCCGCCCACCGGCATCCTGGGGTTCAGGCAGCGCCTCAGCGAAGGGGGGGTCGCTGCAGTGTCCACGCTGTCTGGCGCCACATGCCCCTCTCAAGGCCTGGCCTGGGATCCAGCTCCCACCGTGAGAACGGAGGGCGGAGCCTGAGGCCTGAGGCCTGAGGGGCCTCCCACAGCCCCGGGCCAGCTTCGGGTCAGCGGGGTCACGTCCTCTCCCTTCGGGGACCTCTCCCAACAGATTCTGTTAATTTCAATACATCTACAGTCACGTCCTCTCACGACCTTAAAACAGGATACCCCGGGGGGGGGCAATTCACACCAGCGGGTGGCACAGCCGGCGGTCAGGCAGTGAGGCTGCAGGCCGGTGCGGGGGGGGGGGGGGGGGGCCCGC